CACCCACATTTAGAACCACCCATCGCCACCGTGGCCAAACTATTTTATTCTCTGTCTTTCTATGTAATGCAGGCAGGACTCAATGCCGATGGAATAATAAGTGAAAATGGCATGTCTTGCGCTACTGTGATTGATTACACGGTGGTTGGTCATGCTGAACATGTTGAACTGCATTTCATGACCACTGAATTCTCTCTAAATCAATTAAATGAAGAGAAGTAGGCCATGGAAAGGAAAAATGGGTCTCTCCAAATGAGGCTGGAGAGAAGTTATGCAATTTACGTACAAGCATTTAAGTGTTTGAGTTTGAATTCTGCAGTTAACAGCTTTGCTTATTTTCACAAGTTACAGATTATGTTATATTTAATTAATTTTTAGCACACTCTGCAAAATCTTATGAACTATCAGATGCAAAAAAAAAAAAACTACTAATATTTACCCATAATAAGGTCCTCCAGGTCTTGCTGCTACTCTATTTGAGGCCTCTAGTTGCAAAGGTAGCCCTTCTCCTCTATTCTTTGGCCGAATTCGGCCAATGACGTGAATGTTCATGTCAACGGTGGCAGAAACCAATGACCATCCTGAAAAACACAATAAACCACAAAAAATGACAAATGGCTACCTATGGATATGGTTGCTAAGTTTGATATATATGTGTGTAAATGTGGCTGGATATATACTGGCTATCTATCACAAAAAGATTACACTTTTTAGTTGTCTATACATGAGTAATACTTAAGTAGTCCAAAAAGTAGGTCATGTTATGATGTTGGAGCATCAATTCATGTTCACTGCATCTACATTAAAAAATAGAAAATATACATTTTTTCCCAGACAACGTGGCAGAATTTTTCTGATACTTGCATCTAAAAATGAAGTTTAGGTCTTTGTTTGTCAAAAACCATAATAACATTTGATCAATGTTACCTTAGAAAGAGGTTTAACTCAACATTTGAGAAATTGAACCATTGACATGCTCTGTGCATTTGTACTGTTGCCAGGACCTCCAACATCAGCTGGAGGCTCTCGTGGCCTAGAGGTTAAGGTGTTTGCCTCTCATTCAAAGGTCCCGGGTTCCAATCCAGGAAGCGACGGAAAAATTTTCTTCTTTAAAATTGTCTCCTTCACCTCCTTTCCTGCTCTCCAACAATGTTCTGTCGTTTGCTTTCGTTCCACTCTCTGCCCCCACCCCCTTTGCCCCCTCCGATCTAGCCTCCTGACTCTTACTGCAGCCTTTCCACTGTTACTCCTATAAGGCTCCTTGATAACTTACTGTTGTCTTTCAGCCACACCCTGATCTTCTGGTTGAAAATATCTACACCTTGCCTTCTCGGACAGAAGTTCTAATTCTGGTTTTACGTAAAATCCCCCGACAACAGTTATATTATGTAACCTCCCTACACTCACATAACCGCACTTAGAAGCAGAGTCCGAATATAAATAAAACTTTTTCTTCGGACCTGAGTCCGAATAGATTGAACTCATATACGGACTTGTCAAAATTCAAATTCTAAATGTTGAAAAGGCAAAAAAATTTGTGCACCAACAGCAAAATGAGGCCTGGACACTTGACATACGTCGACCTACGGCTGATGATGGATGTTTTACTGAACTTTGCATGGGCCCACACAGCTTACAGCATTATATAAACTTTGTCCAGCTTTGTATATTGTACAGTGCATTACGCAGTTCAACCACAGAAGGCCTAAGATGTTTGCACTTTAATTTTTTTTTAATGAAGGGAAGATGTCGTGGTGTTGTTGCCCGTGGTTGTATTCGGTATTCTATTCGTTGCGTCCTGTAGTAGTCGAGCCCAACAAAAGCAAAAAACAAGTAACAAGGCTGCTTACTGAGTGTTTGTCCACTCATGTCATCTAAAACATAACAAAGATAAAAATTATATTCGGACTTAGTCTGAATATAGAGCTGGCCTTTATTAAAGCATGCAGTGATTAACAGGGCAAAGGCATTTACGAGTCTAGATCTACTACATCTCTAAAAGCTTCCGCCTTGCTTGTGCGTCTATCAAAAGAAGTAATTTTACAGCTCAATACTATAAAGTAGGCCTAGGCTATAGGCTATAGATATCTAGATAATAGACTCATTCATTAATTCAGGTCAGAAAAGTCGGAAGTCAACAGATCGTAAGCGTGTCAAATAAAAGCTGCCAGACGTTCTAACATATTCACTCATCACATTATATTATATGTAGATCTAGATCTAGATCTAGGCCTAAATGTTAACTGTAAACTAAAACAGGGTCCTTTCTAAAGTAAAATTTGTTGAGTTACCAATAATTCTTAGAATACCAGGAACATCAAAGTAGATTTAATACTAGATTGTAGATCTAGATCTAGATGTCATTCGCAGTGCAGATCCCTTGTTCGGGATGCTTGTTTGTATTGACAACGACGGCCATTAAGTCTTAGGGGAGGTAACTCGTTAGAAATTAGTATGTCTCGATGAGTTATATCCCTGAAGTTGCATAATATACTATAGGCTTAGGCTACTATCAAAGATTGTTATGTACGATCTTTGATACTCTATTCATCAAAGATAAGGCATAATACCCAATACCCAAGACTGGCGAACAACGTTCTTACTGTGTCTTGGCTACTACTGGCCTTCATCATATATTAAATGCACACCAAAAGATGTTTCCTAGAGTAGTACACAAGACGATGTAATGCGATTGCTAGAGAATGGAAGTTAGAAAAATAGGCAGACTTCTATCAAATAGGCTTACATCAGGCGCGGTTCGTCCATAGGGCACGGTCGTGCAGTGCCGCCCAAATTTGTTAATGTTCTATTACGAAAAGCACCCACAAAGATAAAATAAAAGAAGTCAGAAACAAACACTAGCGAGCCACAGGGGCGGTTTGTTAACTGGGCAAGACCGGCGGTGCCGGTCAAATTTTTGTCAGCTCAACTGTTGACAAGATATTTATTGCTGATGATGATTTTCATTCAGTCAGTTTTAAGTAAAGGGTGACCTTATTTAGGCCACATATGGCCTAAATAAGCTAAACCCCCCTCCCTTACCTTAGTAAGGCCACATTTTATAGTAGATTTCTTGAACTAACCTTGGATTTGGAAGGTCGAGATTCTACTGATCTTTTTATTTAGTGCGGGGGATTTCAAAATAGAGGATGATACTAAATGAAAAGTGGACCAAGGGTAAGAGTTGTGTGTCTGTATGTGTGCGTGTGTGTGTGTGTGTGTGTGTGTGTGTGTGTGTGTGTGTGTGTGTGTGTATGTGTGTGTGTATGTGTGTGTGTGTGTGTATGTGTTTGTTTTGTGTGTGGTTGTGGTGAGAGAGAGATCTAGAGAGAGAGAGTAAATGTAATAGTGTGTTTGTATGTGTGTGGGGGGGGGGGGGTTGTGTGTGTGTGTGTGTGTGTGTGTGTGTGTGTGTGTGTGTGTGTGTAATGTGTGAATGTTATTGTGTGCATGAGTGTCTATCTCAGTTGTACGGTCCAAATGTACATTATTTTGTTGAGAATTTTACATAGAACTCAACTACAAAACACCTTTATACAAAGTCATAGAAATATTCTTTTTGTGCTTATTGAGGTACAGTACAGGGTGATTTTACCTGCAAGGATAATTGGACAAAATGGGCAATATCTTTATTGCTAATGGTCATATTTAGACAAATCCTATATCATTCTCTCTCTTTTTTTTTCTTAACTGCTCATGGTTATTAAAGAGTAAGCCAACTATAGATCAAGGTAGTAATTTCGGATTCCTAATATTATGGGCATTCTTAAAAAATTTTAACTTGTTTTTAGCGCTTTTCTCAACGTAAAACGGATTCCGTTAA